GACAGACAGACAGACAGACAGACAGACAGACAGACAGACAGACAGACAGACAGACAGACAGACAGACAGACAGACAGACAGACAGACAGACAGACAGACAGACAGACAGACAGACAGACAGACAGACAGACAGACAGACAGACAGACAGAGAATCATTTTGGCTGAAACATACAAACAATATAATTCAGAGTGAGTGTTTGAATGTTTGTGGGCGTTTATGTGCGTGCTTGTTTTGGCGTTGTGGGGTGGGTTGGAGGAAGAGGGGTGGTGCTGTGTGTGTGTGAGAGAGAGAGAGAGAGAGAGAGAGAGAGAGAGAGAGAGAGAGAGATTGGGAGAAATGTACGTGAAATACATGTGTGTATGTGTGTGAGCGAGACAGGTGTGTGTGTGTACCTGTGAGTGCTTGAGTATGTGTGTGTGTGCGAGAGAGAGAGAGAGATGTGTGCGTGTGTGTGTGAGAGAGAGAGACATGTGTGTGTGAGCGAGACAGGTGTGTGTGTGTGTGCCTGTGAGTGCGTGAGTATGTGTGATAAAGAGAGAGACATGTGTGTGTGTGAGAGAGAGACATGTGTGTGTGTGAGAGACATGTGTGTGTGTGAGAGAGAGAGACATGTGTGTGTGTTTGAGCGAGACAGGTGTGTGTGTGCCTGTGAGTGCGTGAGTGCGTGAGAGAGAGAGAGACATGTGTGTGTGTGTGTGTGTGTGTGTGTGTGAGATATGTGTGTGTGTGAGAGAGAGACATGTGTGTGTGTGTGTGTGTTGATGAAAATCCATGACATCATCTATACATACCTCCTCCGTGTTGAAAAGCCAGGTACGGGAAGCGCCAGATATTACCCAACCCCACGGCATACCCGACGCAGGAGAAGAAAAACTCTAGTTGGTTGGACCAGCCCGTCCTCTCTGGTGTTTCCTTGTGAGCATCTTTGTCTGGCGACTTCTCAGCCATGGCTGCAGGAGGGCAGCGGTGAACTTATGTACTGCCTGTCTGTACAACAACTATACAAGACATCATAATAATCTATATATATAAAAATCAATGTTTGTGTGTTTGTTTGCCCCCTATAGACTCGGAAACTACTGAACCGATTTAGCTGAAATTTTCAGGAATTGTTTGTTTTGATACCGGATTTTGAACCATCGTGGTTTGAAATTCAACCTGTCACTGTTAGAGATAGGTGACCACAATTTATGCCATAATATTCGCAACTAATATTTATAGCTTTAGTGATTTCTAATTATAGCCACTTTAGCAATTGCGCATGCGCCGCCGTAGTCAGAAAGCAAGGCTTCCGCCATTCGCCGGCGAGTTACGTGCAGCCAACGCCTTAATACATAGAGTAGGTCGAGGTACCGCAAACAAGACTATCTCTATATTTGCCACAATAACCATATTAAACACGATTTCTATTTTCTGTTTTTTTTTCTTTCAAACAACCTTCGTTTGGGGGGTAAGGGGGGGGGGGGCAATCAAGGACTATCTCGGCGTAGGCGCAGACATTGACTGCGTCATTAACTTCATTAACCGTGTTAGACACGTGCGATTTCTATTGTTGTGCTGTTTCATTAATATATCTGGAGTATCTGTCTACGAGAAAACAATTGCCTGCGGTTTTGAATTGTGTTTTAATCACGACACATTAGAAGGGAGGGACACACATCTCTAATAGATAAGTTCTCTTTTCGTTTATTCGAGCTTGGTCGAATGGTTAGAACACTGGGTTCCTGAGCGGGAGACCTGGGTTCGAATCCGCAGTATTTAATTTTTTTTTTTTTTTTTTTTTACCCCGGACTAAAATAATATCCTCATATTCTCTGTCATGGTGACAGCACTAGCCATGTTGCCTTAATATTAAATAAATAAAAAAAAAATAAAAAAAAAAGACAAGTAAATGGGTAAACCATTTGATAATTAAATTTGACCAATTCACATACTTATGATTGCATTTTTAAACTTTCCGATTGCATGGTTACGCTAAGATTTTATAGATTTTCATTTCTTTTCATTTAGATTTAGTTATTTCGTCTGCGTTGTAATTTTAAGCTGTGCTGTTTACCATGGCGTTCATTTCCTAATTATGGTTTTTTTTTTTTTTCCTGTGTTCATTTGCTTTTCAAGTGTGTTTTTTTCTCCCAACTACTTCAATGAGGGAAAGAGTTGTCGGTGAATTGGGGGGGGGGGGGGGGGGGGGGGGGGGCAAACTATTTACTGAGAGAGCTATAAGTCACAGTAACTGCTTTACCCACTTAAAGTAGCAGCAGCAGCAGTAATAGTTGTGGTTGGGCTGTTACACCATAGTGCTCTCATGTGAAGACCGCCGTTAAGGTTATGGCGTTCTTCTGTCGGCAAGTAAAATTATACATCCTAACCCGACCAGTCTGTGGCGACAGCACTAGCCATGCGGAACTAAATCTTCTGGCTCACGACTCTCTGTCTACTCCGATCGTAACACAGATAGCAGTGACATTATTTTAGTAGTTGTACTGGTAATTGAAGGATGGTGTGGTAAATATTACACTAGCCCCATTCACTACCTAGTACAATTCCTGCTCCCGATTTTAGTCCAGATGGAAGGGATGTCAATGTCAGTTACAGCAACAACAAAAATATCGCCAGGTAATGATTTTCAAATATTTCGAAGAGGGAGAGAACAGTAGTCGGTGGAAGAGGGGAGGGGAGGGGGGTAATGACTTAAATTTAAGAGAACTTAAAGAGCTTTACACGTGATTTTCAAGTTCTCATTACCTAATTTGTTTATATTTTACTAACGCTACCTCCGCTTTTCTATTTTTTACGACTTACTTTGTTATTTACAAGTACAGTTGTAGCTTTACTTCCGTCTCCTATAAAAATACAAACAGCTTTAGCATGTGATAACCAAATAACCACTTTTGTTACCGTGCTAATAGCACCATTTAAACGACCACTAATATAAAGACACAATTATAATGTGCGTGTTCCAAAGTTGGAAAACCAGACTATCTCTATATAAATATGCAGAGAATGATTGCGACATTAACTATATTAGACAGGTGCGATTTCCATTGTCTTTCTTTTCCAAAAACCTTTGATGAGGGAGAGGGTAGTAGGTGGATTTAGTTTTGGGGTGGGGGTGGGTGGGGATCAAAGACTATCTCAAATTACGCCACAGCAACGCGTGGCCGGGTACAGCTAGTGTAATATAAATAACAGAGGCAGTGGTGGAGGTGGTTGATGATGAGGATGATGAGGAGGAGGAGAAGGAGGATGAAAGAGAACAAGCAGAAGACATACATACACACACACACACACACATACATACATACAAACATACATACAAACAGACAGACAGACAGACAGACAGACAGACAGACAGACAGACAGACAGACAGACAGACAGACAGACAGGCAGGCAGACAGGCAGACAGACAGATAGAGAAGTACACACACACACACACATGCATCGTTTAGCTATCTTAAAGTACACAAGACATTGAAAATCATGAGCCAGGTTTATACAAAAGGAACAGACCTAGCATATCAATAAGTATAATAATCCTAAAGACAACAGGGAAGAGTTTTACACAGGGAATTTTATAAAACAAACACCGTTCAGAAACACGAGACACCTAAAGCAACAGACAATGTTACCTACCTGCTAGAGGAAACAAAAGCGACGTCTTCTCACAGTTCTCCCTAGACAGGATATGTGCTTGGGGGTGTTTCTATGTATGTTTGCGGTGGTGTGTGATTGAAGTGTGACTTAACATTGAAATTGCCATTTGTTCTGGCAGCTGACAAATAAAGTGCATTAGTTATGGAGATGCCTGTCGTGACCTTAATAATATTTGGTATATTTATGTATTCATGAGAGTGATAGAGGTGGTGGGAACAGGAAGACAAGAGGTTGGTATATCTATACGTAAAATTAGTAGTGTATGAGCGCTTTACAAACTACAGAGCAATCATCATCATCATCATGTGCCCTGTCAACTTGCATAGGCGCTCATGCGTCTCCACATATCACGATCCCTGGTTGACTGGAACAGCTCTCTTGATGATATCCCTCTATGTCATCGCTTTAGCCTATCCAGCACCATCTCTTAAGGTCTGCCTCTACCACTTCCATTGATCTTTCCAGCTTTCACGATGTTCTCCAAAGTCTCTCTTCTCATTATGTAGCTAAAGAACATTCCTTGTTTCTTTCCTATTGTTACAGTACAATGCTATTACAAAAAAAAATATATATTTAAGTGGAGACGTAAATGGCCATTACTGCCTGTCTCAACCACTTTTGCCATGCAGACGGGGTGAGGGTAAAAAAATCGGGGTTGAGTCTGGAAAAAGCAAAATCCGTATTAATAGATAGGATGCGAAACCGGGTCTTCTATCTGAGAGGCTGGCGTTTTTAACCGTATGTCCAACTGCTTCTCTCTCTTGCTGTTAATAACAATTACTACATACATTAAATGTTATGAAAAAAAAATTACAATAATCTGAAAGCTGTAATAGTAGTAGCAATTTTAATAATTATATCCTGATCATAAATGGTAAATCATTATCATCACCATTAAGTGTATTCCCGGCTGGTACGGGCGATCATGTCTCTATACAATTTGCTATCTTCAACAGCATGTATCAGTTCGTGTGTTGACACGCCCCTATGGAACGACAAAATGAGGTCAAAAATAGGTCTAGCGCTGTCTTCCTCTGTCTCTTTTTCCACACATCTTTCCATTGGTCACAACATGTTCCATTTTCCCCCTTCTCATAACATGACCTAAAAATAATAACGGTCTCTTTCTGACGTTTGTAAGAAATTGTCTTCGAGCGCTCGCCTTTTTCGAAACATCTGGGTTGTTCTTTTTGCCTGTCCAAGGAATTCTAATCATTCTTCTTCAAAACCATATTCCCGATGCCTCGAGAAACTGTCTAGCTTGTTTATTACCTGCCCAGGCTTCTGCTTCTTCTGTTGTCAATGTCTGCTTATGTCGCTAGGCAGCCGAGCCAGGGCGCGCTCAGTAGCTAGATCTGCCATGATGATATGCAGTCTCAGGGTTTCAGTGACTCCTTCAATCCATATACTTCTCGGTCTTCTCCTGCCTCTTGGTGTTTCGATTTTCAGGTTGTACGCTCTTGCTGCTGGCATCGTTGGTTTCATTCTCATTAGATGGCCAAACCATTTCATTCTTTGTTTCTCAATAAATTTGACGATGAGTGATGCACCATCAGTTCTTGTAAATTGCGTCGTTTCTCATTCGAATCTCTTCTTGTTTTATCTATCCATTCTCAAACATCTCATCTCACAGGTAGTTAGTTTTCTTTCGTGTTCTTTTGTAATGTCCAAGTCGGACTATGTTGAATGTTAATGTTGAATTAGGAATCTACATCACAGTACTGTGAGTCAGTTACCAATTCGGCATGTGTGTACAGCTTATTCTCAAGCCAGCGGAAGGCAGCAGAGACTGCCTCCACCTGCATTCTCAAACTAGACGTTGTGATATCATATGGGAGGCTTTGATGGTGATGTCCATTCGACTATGCTATGAACCACCGTGCACTTCGTCTGTCCCTCAACACAGAGCCATCTGTATAGATAATCATCGGGGGGGGGGGGGGGGGGGGAGAGAATTGCCATGAATCATTTGTTGAACTTTTGATTCTGCAGCACCAGCTGGACAAACTCTGCACTCACGACTTGAAGTTATTAGAACCCTACACAAGTCTGAAACTTGTTCGGACACCTTGACCTACTCCTCTCCTCGAACAAATTTATCAAGCCGGTACACATGTCTAAATGTGTCTTCAGCTTGCGCCTTCTAAGCCCTTCCTCTTTTCAGTCAGTGATTCTTAGCTCTACCCAGGGCTTCATGTAGGAGGTGCTTCTTGTCTGCAGCTACTCTGAGATATGATTTAGCTTGCAGAACTGTGAGCCTATCAGCAATAGTATGCAGTGTAAGTATATATCGCATACATACTACCGGGGTATCTCTTGTACATCCCAGAATTACCCGCATGGCTTCATTCTGTATGCGTTCGAGTTTTATCAGTTGACTCTTTGATATGGCAAGCATTCCAAGTCCCTAATCTATCACCGACATGATCGCAAGCTGGAACATTGTGAACAGCATTCTTTGTTCCATGTCCATTGATGTCATAATCTTGAGAGCTTGAGTCCTTTTTGGTATTTCGCCGCAACTGCCTTCACATGTTCCCTATAGGACAGGCTTCTATCGAAAGTGACACCCAGGTACCTCAATTTGCTTTCTCTTTTGATGTTACTGTTTTTAAGTGTGAGGCTTGGAACATTAGCTCTCACAATTCTATTGTCCAGAGAGCACCACAAAACAGCTGCCTTTTCTGGGTTGATGACAGCGCCCATTTCTGCACACCAGTCAATCACTTTGTCTACAGTTGCCAGCAGCTCTAGGGCTATGCGTTGTCAGTAACTCCCGTGCCTATATGCAAGAACATCATCAGCAAATGTCAATATCCTTTCAAAATCTGGTGCTTTAAGTTCTGCAATCTTGCTTGTATACACATTAAAGAGCACCGGAGAAATTGCAGAACCCTGGGGTAGTCCCGGGGCTATATTACATGGTTCTGAGGTCCATGAACCCAGGTGAAGGGCAACCATACATGAGTGCAGGACAGCTGCTATCCAGTTCACAAGCCAGGGACAAAACCCCTTCTCAATTAAAGCAGATATCAAAATATCATAGCTGACTATTCTAGGCATAATCAAGATCTAGTGCAGCCACAACTGTCTCCTGTCTTTTCTGGAACCCTTTATAAAACCAACAGCAAAAGTCGCTGCATTAGATTATGTATCTTTCCGCGGCCGGTAACTACCCAAAACTTTTGGCAGCAGTTCTTCCCTTTCCGTAATCTTTTGTAGTTAAACAGGAATAATCTTCTCTAGTACTTTGCCAAAAGTATTCTGAAAGGTGATAACCTTGAAGCCGCTGAGTCTGGAATGATCTTTGCCTGGTTTTGGAAGCGGGATCATGTAGCTGTGTACCCAAATTTGGGGTACTGACGCTGTTCTGACACTCTGGTTGAAGTGAAATGCCATCTACCTCAAGTCTTTATCACGTATGCTCTTTATGTGGGTATACCTCACTCTGTCTGGCCATGGCACAGTGTCTTTTGCTTTTTGCAATACATATTGTACATCCTCCACTCTAATAATATCCTGAAACTAATTATCATTTATAGTGTTAGACTTATAATTTCTAACTAAATTTCTAAGCTCCCTATCATTATGATCAGTTTAGGCTGTCGGACATTGGTAACCTAAAGTGGGTATAAATATTGTTCATGTAATTATAATTTGTCTCTTAGTCTTTATAGGGATAGCAGGGTGTTTTAAAATTGGAGTAAGTTGGTACGTGACATTGCTGGCCTGTTGGATTCTCGTTTCTATCTCTCCCTCTATTTTATCATTGTATGTAAAGATGCTTCCCAAGTATTTAAATTCTTGCACTTGTTTTAGACTTTGATCTTTGATCTTTGTGTCGATAGTTTGTTGCTTTCTACTTATTCTCATGACTTCATTTTTTTTTTTTCAATATTGATCTTCATGCGATGTTTAAGGCAACTATCGTAAAGTTGGTTTATGTGGTCCTTCACACTACCTAGAGCAGTGTTTTGTGAGCTTTTAAATCCACTGCCGAGGCTTCGCAGCCATATCATAAAACTGGCTCTATAAAGCATGCAAGCATTCTTTTTATACCCTCCAGTGACATAGATTTGTTGCTTAAAACGTTTTTTCTTTTATAAAATGCAGATTTGGTATCTCCTGTTCTGTTCTTTAATTTTGTAGTAAACCTACATCTTGCTATGCTTGTGTCTAGTTACTTAACACTTCAGTACTTGTCCTAAAATTACGTCTTTGATATTAATTATATATTTAGTTACAATTATTATTTTCTTTAATATTACCATTACTTCTGTCTTATCGTTATTCAAGCTAATTGTCATTTTATCTTTTTCTACCACCACCGTATCTATCAATCGCTGTAGTTCTTCCTGACTATCAAACGGTGACAAAAGCATAAAGTAGGTTATTTATGTTATTATCATAAAGCACAATTCCTGGCATGTCTCAACATATACTGGCTATAATATTCACTGTGTACTTAAAACAAATCAGGTGATAGTACATATTCTCCTCGTACGCCCCTCTTATACTTTGAAATTTTCTTAAATGATTGTTGATTCTTTTATCTGCTGTTTGCTGCCAATGCTTGTTCTTTATTATTTTCGTGAACTGAAGTGCTCAGCCGTAATTCGAACCCACGACCCTCAAAGCGCGAGGCAAACGGATTAGCCACTTTGTTGTGAAGACCCTAGTAGGCCTATTAGATATTTAATGGTTCATGGTTTCTTCAACGAATCGACATCATAGCACAAGGGTAGTAATCCATAACTGCTCCGTTCTACTTCTAACTCAAGCCAGATTCCCTAGAATCTCAGCGCAGTGCTCGAACTTTGTAGCACCGGCAATTTTTTGGATTTGATTTGGATATTTAATTTTAATGCTTATCAGTAATAACATAAGATCTACCAGAAGTGTCTGCCTTCGGGGGGGGGGGGGGGGGGCGGAGGGGGGGGGGAGGACCCACACACCAAGACTCAGAACATGGAAAGAGCAAACGAAACAGAAGACGAAAGGAGTGATGGAAACGCATTATAAGTCCTCTTTTAAAAAAAAATCTAACAATTTAACACCAGTTTCTTGCTCTGGCTTACACTTTTCGGCAATTTACGGAAACTGCTTGTAAACTACTTACACACCCTGACCCGGAAGCAGTCATCGGACATCTTCCCTCACCTTGAGAGAAGGATACAGACGGAAAGACGTAAAATCGTTTTCTCATATTCTTTTGTAAGTACATGCAGCTGTTCTTAAACATTTGATCACCCCACTGGCTTGATATTTTAGTGACATTTTGCGTGGTCAAAGCTCTGGGGTTTTTTTTTTGTGTGTGTGTCTTTTTTTTTTTTCAAATAATATATTACTATTATTACGTATTACGAGACTCAGAGATGATCATGTCATGATCATTGATGATGATGAGATGATCATTTTGATTTTTTTTTTAATGTATAATGTATGATTTTCACCAAATTATATAATACTAAATTTACTTTATACGTAATTCGGTAATCGTAATCTGCATGTAAAGAGCTGGCTGAATGAAGTCCACCCATCCGGAGTACTTTGTTTAGTCTGTGTATAGTGTATGTCATTGATCATTCTTGAATCCTCCAATTACGTCTTGAAGCGTTGGGGGCAGGTGTAAGTAAGGCGGTCTTCTTTATACTTACCTGTACCTGTACATTCATTGTCTTTGTATAAAAATAATATTTTAACTTGGTGTCATTATTTATATCATTTTACCGTTTTTTCTTCCTTTGTGCTGTCTTCTCTTCCACTTAAAATGTTTCTTTTCCACGCATTTAGGCATATTTAATTATTATATTGGGAATAGAGGGCTAGATCTATATTTTTATAGACCAATTGACACTTGGTGGCCCACCAAGTGTCAATTGGTCTATAAAAATATAGATGGGTAATGTGGTCAGCATCATGCCGGCCGCCTTTACTTTCCAGAACTGCACCTGGTACCCATTCAAGGCTGGGTCGACCTGAGAGTCATATTTGAAAAGTCTGGCTCCATTAGGACATGGACCCACAACCTCCTGTTTCGCCACCAACACCACGACGACTCCCCTAAAAATTCTTGTTGTCTTACAGTTTTTGTGACAGTTAGTTGGTACCACCAGTGCATTCCTTCTCGTCAGAATGTAATATTTACTCTGAACCATGTCATTTGTTGCTTTTAAATTAATAAATGTGTGAGTGGTTTGGAACCCAGTCTTCACATTTTGTCTCATTTATCTTTCTTTTGTTTTTTAACCCTAGTAAGTGGCTCTTATTCTAAGACAAATCATGAATCATCTCTGTTGTTATATGATTTTGGTTTTAATGAGGGTCCTCTGACTTATGTTGTATGTCTGACACTTGTCTAGCATAAACTGAAGCGTGCTGGTCACTGGTGAATTAACTTTTACTGTAACTCGGATATGAGATAGATCTGCATCTGCCAGATTGGTTTGTTATTTGATTATTTCACTTTACTGCATGGAGCCTAAAATAAATCTCTAAACTGCTACAGACATAAAGAAAAAATAAGATCGCTTCCTTTCTCTTTCGACAGCACATTGGTTAGACTGTTGACCTGAAAGTCGTGGCTTTGTACCTGCGTCGGCTGGGTTTTATAAATTACATGTACCCAGCTCTTAAAGGTGCCATATCATGTTTGGGAGTGATGTTAACCATGTCAGATGCAGATAAGTCTAAATTTTTGGTCTAGCATATGCCTGATGGCTGCCGTAGTGTAGCTGCTAGACGCACGCCTGCAGTTCCGAAGGTCATAAGTTTAAATCCAGATAGACTAAAAAAAAATCTTAGTTCCTGGGTCGACCCAGCCTTAAATGGATTTGCTGAGTGGCAGTTGGTCTGTAAATTATAGATCTAGCGCTATCCTATTACATCTGAAGACATGGAACTAGGTACTTTTACTTCCTATATGCCAGATATGTGAAAAGGGCTTGTTAGTTTATTTTATTGTTGGTTGTGTGTACGCACATGTTTGAAGTCTTGTTTTGTCATCCAGCAGCTAGCAACAACAAGACAAGATGGGTATGCACTGGGGAGAGATGTGCAACAACATCCGTGGTGTTGTCACATACAGCTTGTCACCCTACGAACAGAAGGCTTTCGCTAACGTCATCTCAAAGGGTGTGCCCAACATGGTCCGGCGAATCAGGGGACAAATATTCAGAGTTACACCTCGTGAGTCACTAGCATCATTGTGTGTCAGAAAGTGAGGGAGAAGGAACAGAGTGATTTATTATTATTCTTTACGCTCACCGGTCGTAAACTCAGATGGAAAGTTCTAGTTCTTGGTCTACCTCTGGACTTTAAATCTTGTTCCAGAACCTGGAGTTTTCTGTGCACATCCATTTTACAGGTCTGGCTTTTTTATTTGAAGACTTGGTTCGTTGCATATTAGGCAGATGCACTCTTGACTTCTATAGAAACACCCTTTAATTAATCAGCTTTTACAACATTCATAATGAGGAGGCAGTGGGTCTGTTCCCCCCCCCCCCCCCCCCCCCCCCCCCCCCCTACCCCCCCCCCCCCCCCCCCCCCCCCCCCCCCCCTTCCCTACCCAGAACGCACACAGGGAGATATGAATCGATATGTGTATTATAATAGCCTGGACATAATTTGCAGAATGCCTCGTGACATGTTCGCGTGGGTAACTCTTTGGCGGATAGCAGATAAAAAAAAACAGATGTAGAAACCTGGAGGATAGTAGAAAAGGAAAGAGTAGATTGCTATGAGCACAAAGGCAGCAGACCAGCAACAATGTAGACCACTTGTAAATGTTTTATGTATCAGCGGCGACATGAAAAGGGTATCAATTAAATCCTTGTTAATGCGAATTCCAAAGGAGCAAAAAATCAAGTGTTCAGGTTAAATCCAATTCATGCTCACTGGGGACCAGTAAATGAATGATTGATCATACACCCCTGCTGGAATAAAATTGCATGTTAATGGGATGATTGTGTGGCAGTTTTACTGTACATAAATCAATTACTCTCATTCCCGGGTGGTTTCCTGGGCCTAAATTGTGGGAAAACACGAATAGACCCACTACCTCCCCAGCAACCATGTCGTAAGAGTCAGCTAATTAAGGGCTTCCTTCGAAGTCAGAGTGCATCTGCCTGAGAGGGAATGGAACCAGCAGTCTGCACACAGTTAAGTCAGATCTGTTAAACAGATGTGAACGCCACACTCAGGTTCTGGAACAAGACTTTATGTCCAGGGTGGACGAACAACCAGAGCTGTCCGCTGGAGTTTACAGCCAGTGAATGCGAAGAAGAAGAAGAGTTGGTCTCAAAAGTAATCTTGTGTACTGTGTTGATACCCCTCTTGAATTCTAGAAATCGGTATTGTCTTTCATTTTAAATTTAGCTAGAGTAAACTAAAAAAAACAAAATGGGCGTCACCAATAGCCACTTTCACCAAACATTCTGTTTAAAAGTAATCTTCTTTTCTTGCAGTTATCCCAACAGAATGTTAGGGGCGGTACGGTTCTTCTATGTGCTTTTCTTTTCTTCTGTTTTGCTATGTATCTTTCTGATTTTGTCCTCCCAGCCAGTTTCAGATAAAAAGGTCCCAGGCCTTTATTATGTCCTCCGCTGATCCAGACAGCTTGGCTTCCACCGGAATGTCGATTGACCAGACCTGGGGTCTCCCTACCGGTGCATGTCTGCAGACATATTCAGTATTCACTGTGTTTATTGTTCTTTATTTCTCTAAGGTTGTTCTAGATGCTCTTGTGTTACTAGTTGTGCAGTGTTCCCCTCTCTCTGTGTGCCTGACAAAATCAATGTCAAGTAGATAATAGTGGTCATCAACTATTGCGAGTCCATCTTTCTTAGCTTCAGAGTTGGTGTTGGCAGTGTTTTATGTATTTCTTCATTGAGACAGTGATTATTTCTTCATTGAGACAGTGTTTATTTCTTTATTGAGACAGTGATTATTTCTTCATTGAGACAGTGTTTATTTCTTCATTGAGACAGTGATTATTTCTTCATTGAGACAGGGATTATTTCTTCATTGAGACAGTGATTATTTCTTCATTGAGACAGTGATTATTTCTTCATTGAGACAGGGATTATTTCTTCATTGAGACAGTGATTATTTCTTCATTGAGACAGTGATTATTTCTTCATTGAGACAGGGATTATTTCTTCATTGAGACAGTGATTATTTCTTCATTGAGACAGTGATTATTTCTTCATTGAGACAGTGATTATGTCTTCATTGAGACAGTGATTATGTCTTCATTGAGACAGTGATTATTTCTTCATTGAGACAGGGATTATTTCTTCATTGAGACAGTGATTTTGTCTTCATTAAGACAGTGATTATTTCTTCATTGAGATAGTGATTCCTGATTAGACCCGAGCCACTGACACCTTTTATTTTTTCAAAGGCCTGCCATGGGACTCCTACTTTTTAATAAATCACATTTAAATTTGAAATTTGATTTTAAAATAAATCTTAAATCTATAATAAAATTTCTTTAAAGTGTTGAGGGTTTTTTCTTTCTAAATAATATCTTCATCTTATAGATCATGTCGTGCAGCATTGATATTCATACCTATCCACAACTGGTGAATTATGTATGACAAGCTAGACATTGTGAGGGCCCATTGGAAACCAGTGAACAGTGCGGATGTGCAGATAGATCAATACAGTCTGAGGAGAATGGCGCTGCGAGGAGTTATCAGGGGATCTGGCTGACGCTGAACACTCAGAGCAAGGATGAGACAGATGTACAATCAGACGGTGCCATCGGAATTTTAACTCTTTGCTTGCTGCTGAAGATGGGGACTGAGCACTTATGTGAGTGTCCCGAGTGCTGTGATGTCAATTCTTAATTCAACAATCAACATTCTTTTCAGTTTCTTTGAGGACATCATTACTCTTTTCTATCTGTCAAGGACATCATTACTCTTTTCTATCTGTCAAGGACATCATTACTCTTTTCTATCTGTCAAGGACATCATTACTCTTTTCTATCTGTCAAGGACATCATTACTCTTTTCTATCTGTCAAGGACATCAATACTCTTTTCTGTCTGTCAAGGACATCATTACTCTTTTCTGTCTGTCAAGGACATCATTACTCTTTTCTATCTGTCAAGGACATCATTACTCTTTTCTATCTGTCAAGGACATCATTACTCTTTTCTATCTGTCAAGGACATCATTACTCTTTTCTATCTGTCAAGGACATCATTACTCTTTTCTATCTGTCAAGGACATCATTACTCTTTTCTATCTGTCAAGGACATCATTCCTCTTTTCTATCTGTCAAGGACATCATTACTCTTTTCTACCTGTCAAGGACATCATTACTCTTTTCTATCTGTCAAGGACATCATTACTCTTTTCTAACTGTCAAGGGTAAAACGACATCTCCACCACCTCCATATAAGTTTTCACTAATCATCCAACTGTAATAACATTGTGGACCCCCTAAAATGATTTGCCCAAACCGCCGATTGGGAATCAATTCAGTTTAGAGCTAGGATGCTAACAATGGCACCACTGATGATTCATTACCATATTCTGTTTATTTTACAGCTTTCATTGCCGGATACCTGATTTATGATTGGGCTATAAAGGAACATGCACGCTTGCAGCGCAAGGACCCCAGTGAATTTGCCAATGATGTGTAACAGACAGTCATATAACAGATTTTCTTGTGTTATCCATGCTGTTTTTCGTTATGTAACTAGTAATTAGCTTAGGAAGTTACCCACTGGAAAAAGAGATCAGACACCGGTGTGGAGCCACTGGTTTGTTTAACAGATATACACACATTTCTGAAACTTCTACATCATTTTGCTAATAAACCAGTAATGTACACTTATTTCCTGTTTTCTGTTGATACTAGTAGTGTGTGTATGACAGTTTAGCAAAGTTCATGTGATGCATATTATATGTATTATCTCACAATGTTCATCTTTGTGTCCAGAACAGTTTTACATTCTGTTAAGCTTTTATAGCCACTTATTCTGTGTTGTTTATTTTCTTAAGTCGGCTCTGAGGCTAAGTCGATGCGAACGCTTCGTAATGCCGGGATGCCTGGTTCGATCCCAGCTGCGGGCCATGCGCCTTGTGTTAGTTTCGACAGTGGTATCAAGAAAGCTGACCGTCCAGAAAGCAATCGCAAACTACTGGACGTAAATTTGCCTAGAAAAAGTACACAGCAGGCAGGGGCTGGCTGTTGGGGTTGGTTCTGCAACGTCCTGTAAAGGATACGCAACCAACCTTGTTTTCTTAATGTTATAACTGAAAGCAAGGCGAAGTAGTCTTTAAAATTTCTTGACAATAGCTGGTATCATCATCATCAAGTGCTTTGCCAGCTGGTGTAGGTGTTCATGCATCTCAACAGATCTCGGTCTTTGGTGTTCTGGATCAATTCCACTGATGATATTCCTCCATTGCCACTATTGTGAGCCGTCCACCATTATTTCTAATGGTCTGCATCTGCTACCAGTGATCTTTCACATGATATTTTTCAGAGCTCCTTTTCTTATCAAATGACCAATGAACTGTGTTTGTCTCCTTCTCATTGTTATATATAATGTTCTCCTTTCATGAGCCATTTCCAGGCAATCATTGTTAGTTATTCTGGCAGTCCAAGGTATTCGCAACATTTTTCTCAAGAATCACATCTCACTTGCCTCCAGACTCTTCTTAATTTAGTTATAATGATGGTGTTGGGCATATTCAGATTTCACAAAGAAAAACATAAAGGGAATCATTGTACCGAAAGCAGCTCGAGGTGCACGACTGGGCTCTATACATAATATTTTAAAAATAGAATCTGATTAAGAAAATATCCAATGTGATATTTTAAAAAAAAGCTAATGAATCCTCACCGCGCCCAAAGCCACATAAATAAGGCAGAGGTACTTTTAATACCAAGCCATAAAGTGTGAATTATTTAACAACCAGACAGACATAAAACCTGATACAACGAGACGAGTCCCTTGAGAAAAGTCGCCGACCTAAACATCTGAGATTGAGTAAATAATACTATTTGACCTGTTGGAACAGCACCTTGTACTAGATTCATCAGAAAGAGCCGATCAAGTGGTTTGTCCATCTCTTTAGATAGAATGCAGCAAGATCAAAGGCAATACATCTAAGAAGATCAGCTGCAAGAGGATGAAAATTTGGATTGACAACATTAAAAGACATAGGGTTTGACCCCTGGTAAGTGCCATGAAAAGTGGTGAACACAAGTAGTGCCCCAGCACTTTTTTTAAAGTTTCTGAGAGACTTGTTTGTTCATGATCACCCATATCGGTTGTAAAGGCACTTTATGCTGATGACTACCTATAGTTAATCGACCGTTTATCCTCATGGCACTTAGGTATTAGTCCATATGTGCTCAGATTCCATATTGAGTATCTCCTTCAGCGTGTGGCGATTGATAACATCAATTAAATTAAATTACCGGTAATTCCTTTAACCACTGTGTTGCTTGATGAGTGACACAAAGATGGTATCTTGAAACAGTCTGCCTGTGAACTGATATGATGACTGAGACATCTGACAACTAGTGCATTTCAAAACAGCATCCCTTGCTACTTTTATTCTGATTGTCCAAATAGAACAGGATGGTTTATTTACAAAAATACATTAGAATACTGAACATAACAAATCTTTTAAAAAAAAATCTGTAATTATGAAATGTTCACGAAAAACTTTTCTTCACATCCACATGTCTAAAATATGCCACTTCTGCATCACCGGTGCATGAAGATATATTCTGTATTTTACTGACACATATAACATTCTCCTGTGGGGTCAGCTTCTGGTGCTCAGATGATGCTGTGCCAAGGTCATGTAGCGTTTGTCGTCAGTTGTTGGACAGACTGGAGTGAGAAATGAATGAGAAGGGATATTGCATTAGGAAAAGGATAAAACTGAATTCCATTGTGTTAATATTGCATTAGGACAAGGATAAAACTAAACCCCATTGTGTTAATATTGCACTAGGACCAGGATACAAATGAATCCCATTGTGTTAATATTGCACTAGGACCAGGATAAAAATGAATCCCATTGTGTTAATATTGCATTAGGACAAGGATAAAACTAAACCCTATTGTGTTAATATTGCATTTGGACAAGGATAAAAATGAATCCCATTGTGTGTTAATGCACTAGGACAAGGCTTTGTGCGGCACTCTCTGCAGGCGGGGAGCTGTTCTGCGGAGAGAGATCGAGCCACATGGGATAAAACGTGGTGCAATGAAGTCAATTCTTTCGACTTTAACTTTAATATTGCATTAGGATAAGGATAAAACTGATCCAATTGTGAGAAGTCACCTCTGTCACACAGTGAAACAACTGTTTACTCCACCATATCAGTTTGTGCATCAAACACACGTAACTAACTCAATAACAGGAAATGAATGTACGGATACTAAACAACAGACATCTGTCTCTGACAGATGACAGGAAAAAAATGTGGGGACATGACAGTAACTGCAATATGGCAGGAAACAACTGAACGAACACTTGTATTTTTCTCCAACATATGGCAGGAAATAATTGTAGAAACATGACAGTAACTGACACTTGTCTCTGACATTTGGCAGTAACTGATTTGTGTCTCTGACATATTACAGGAAATAGCTGTAGGGACACTATTAATTCTCTGTGACATCTGACAAATAATATGGACTACCCCTAAGCCCTGACAACTGACAATCCTAGGAATTATTATGTGACAGTACAAGTGGCCAGCTATGTCAGAATATGCTGTAGGCAAATGTAGAGGGCAGGTAAGCAAGTGAAAGACATACCCAAAAAAATATTTTTTTAAATAACATATAGCTCATAAAGATATGACATATAATTAGGCAGACAACTCAAACATGAGAGAAAACTGTGGATAACTCACACAGAGGTACACAGACAACTCTAAGATACAAAAAGACAAAATCAACACAGGAGAAGGCAATAGGGACAAAGTGAAACAGATTGCCGACAGGTTAAGAACTCGGCTTCTAAAAACAAGCATAAAATTCATGTGATGCCAACAGAACAGAAATATACACTTTTTGTGGAAGATGTTTACTATTAATGTGCGCTGGTCTCGCTAATCCCACCAGAAATCACCATGGGTTGTGACTCCTTAGAACACAATGGCCACCATATAGATTTATTTATTTAATGATAAAATACCATGAATGAAGCTAGCCACCGTGATGTAGTGGCTAGAAGTTAGCCTGAGCTAGATTTTTTCTTTTTGGTTTTTAATAACCTTGGCTCCAGGTCAACCCAGCCTTAAACAGGAACTAGGTAAAGTTCTGGGAAGTAAAAGCGGTCTGTGTGATGCTGACCATATCCCCCCACCAAGTGTTGATTGGTCTAAAATATGTAGGTCTAGCACCATATGCTCAATATGCATGGAAAAGGGTCTTTTATATAGCAGTCATCTCCACATTGATTTGATTAAATTGACAAAATACCATAAATGAGAATTCTCACCTTACTACACATCTCTAATGAGGTGATCAGTTTGGTCAATTCTGACTGGTCCAGTTCTAGAAACACCGACTTGTGCTCCCCGCTGACCTCCCTCACATCTAAGTCAACCTGCAGTAATGGTTCTTGCAAAGAGGCCAACTTATCACTAGCCATAGCCAACTGAGGAAAAAACATGGCCATGGCAGAAACATATGTATCATCATTTTCTTCTGTCGATTCTAAGTGAGTTGACATATGTCCTAGTGAACATACTCTATGATCACATGTTTTAGATTACATCAGTCACAGATCTTCACAAACCTCAATGTCATCTACCATAGTTCTTCACCCCTCTTGTTGACATCCGTCACAGATCTCCTCAAACCTTAATGTCGTTTATCAAAGTTTCTCAGCAATCCTGTTGACATCTATCACAGATCTCCACCAATATTATTGTCACAGATCTCTACAAACCTTAACCTTAGTTCCTCATCCCTCCTGTTGACATCTATCACACAATTCCACAAACCTTAATGTCATCTGCCATAGTTCCTCACCCCTCCTGTTGACATCTGTCACAGATCTACACAAACCTTAATGTCATCTGCCATAGTTCCTCACCCCTCCTGTTGACATCTGTCACAGATCTAAACAAACCTTAATGTCATCTGCCATAGTTCCTCACCCCTCCTGTTGACATCTGTCACAGATCTACACAAACCTTGATGTCATCTGCCATAGTTCCTCACCCCTCCTGTTGACATCTGTCACAGATCTACACAAACCTTAATGTCATCTGCCATAGTTCCTCACCCCTCCTGTTGACATCTGTCACAGATCTACACAAACCTTAATGTCATCTACCATAGTTCCTCACCCCTCCTGTTGACATCTGTCACAGATCTAAACAAACCTTAATGTCATCTGCCATAGTTCCTCACCCCTCCTGTTGACATCTGTCACAGATCTACACAAACCTTAATGTCATCTGCCATAGTTCCTCACCCCTCCTGTTGACATCTGTCACAGATCTACACAAACCTTAATGTCATCTGCCATAGTTCCTCACTCCTCCTGTTGACATCTGTCACAGATCTACACAAACCTTAATGTCATCTGCCATAGTTCCTCACCCCTCCTGTTGACATCTGTCACAGATCTACACAAACCTTAATGTCATCTGCCATAGTTCCTCACCCCTCCTGTTGACATCTGTCACAGATCTACACAAACCTTAATGTCATCTACCATAGTTCCTCACCCCCCTCCTGTTGACATCTGTCACAGATCTACACAAACCTTAATGTCATCTGCCATAGTTCCTCACCCCTCCTGTTGACATCTGTCACAGATCTCCTCAAACCTTAATGTCATCTGCCATAGTTCCTCACCCCTCCTGTTGACATCTGTCACAGATCTACACAAACCTTAATGTCATCTGCCATAGTTCCTCACCCCTCCTGTTGACATCTGTCACAGATCTACACAAACCTTAATGTCATCTACCATAGTTCCTCACCCCTCCTGTTGACATCTGTCACAGATCTACACAAACCTTAATGTCATCTGCCATAGTTCCTCACCCCTCCTGTTGACATCTGTCACAGATCTCCTCAAACCTTAATGTCATCTGCCATAGTTCCTCACCCCTTTTGTTGACATCTGTCACAGATCTACACAAACCTTAATGTCATCTACCATAGTTCCTCACCCCTCCTGTTGACATCTGTCACAGATCTACACAAACCTTAATGTCATCTGCCATAGTTCCTCACCCCTCCTGTTGACATCTGTCACAGATCTCCTCAAACCTTAATGTCATCTGCCATAGTTCCTCACCCCTCCTGTTGACATCTGTCACAGATCTACACAAACCTTAATGTCATCTGCCATAGTTCCTCACCCCTCCTGTTGACATCTGTCACAGATCTACACAAACCTTAATGTCATCTACCATAGTTCCTCACCCCTCCTGTTGACATCTGTCACAGATCTACACAAACCTTAATGTCATCTGCCATAGTTCCTCACCCCTCCTGTTGACATCTGTCACAGATCTCCTCAAACCTTAATGTCATCTGCCATAGTTCCTCACCCCTTTTGTTGACATCTGTCACAGATCTCAACCAATCTTATTGTCACTTATCACAGTTTCTCAGCACTCCTGTTGACATTTCTCATAAATTCTCACAAACCTAGCTCATCTTTTCTAGATCATCACTTTCTGAGCTGATCATGCATCACAAACCTTACTAACATCTGTTACAGTTTCTCTATGGTGAAGTGGTCAAGCCATTTGCTTTGTGCTCTAATGTCCTGGGTTTGTTTCACAGAGGCATCGTTTGGTTTATGAGGACAGTTTTTACAGTTGGTTAGCATCCTTAAGATATTTCCTCCCTGTCATGACAGTATGCTGGGAAGTGAATAAGCAGACAGACTGCTGGTTCTGTATCGCTCAGTGGTAAATAGACACACGACAAGCCAGATGTTTTAAGGGCACTTTGGGAGACAGTGAACAGTGTGGAGACTCAAATAAATCATCACAGTCTGAAGAGAACAGTGCTGCCAAGAGTGACCTCAGAGTCTGGATTATGCTCAACATTTAGTGGAAAGATAAGACGCATATACACAGACTGGTGGCATTGGAACTTGAAGTCTGTGCTTGCTGCTGAAGATGGGGACAGACAGCTTAAGTGAATGTCCTGAGTGATGTGATGTTGATGTTTAATTCAACATTCAGTGTTTAGTTTTTACAGGGATTTGTGAGGATCATCACTAGAGCTACAACATTTGTGCTTTATGTGACACTTTCAGCAGGCAGCTATCCATTTTGCGGAGAGATCGAGAGCTATGTGGGTTAACTCGGGGCAACAAAGTCAATTCTCTCGACATTTAACAGTTCCTCTCATCCCTGTCGACTGTCATATATCCTCACAGTAAGTTATCTTTTGCGCTAACTTGCATTTAATCTACCATCAGCATAGACAACAATGACGATAGCTCACCTTTAACTTCCAATCAAAATCAGCCAAGACAGCATGCGACACAGCTGTAGCATCCTCAATAAACTTGTGTCGCAGCAGCTGCTGGTGAACTAGCACACTATCATAGATGATTTCCTTGAGGGAGTCATTCAGAGACCCAAGTTCTTTTATAACCTGTGGGAAAGCATGACTAGAAAGTTATGGAGTGAATACACATGCAACAAATAAACGTAAATGTTTATAAAACACCAACTTTTGTTTGGTGTTATTCTGTTTCATTTGGGCCTGTGTTGTATAAAAAAACATGTTTCATTTTGTTACATGCTACCCAACAATACCCATGAGTTTTATTTTTTCTGTGTTATCCAACAATAAATAAATAAGTTTCATTTTGTTACATGCTATCCAACAATAGCCATGAGTTTTATTTTTTTCTATGTTATCCAACAATAAATATATAAGTTTCATTTTGTTTTCTGTTGCCCAGAATGTATACAAGTTTCACTTTACCACCCAGTGAGTAGGACTTCTCTCTCGCTGTATAGTTTCATCAGATCACCACTGGCTACATTTTTGCATCTTGAAAATGTTGCTCCTCGATTCCCTATTCTATGTGCTCTGCTTGAATGTTTTCCTTTTCTTTAACTCTTTGAGTCCCAGGGGGTTAAGCATCACAGGCCCAGGGGGTAGTAAAGAAAGTAATAAAATAGGCGCATCATGCGTTCATTGGGCTTCTAGGTAGGAACATATGATGCGTTCCTTGGGTCTCAAAGAGTTAATTTTATAAATGAGGCAGCATATACTTTTAGAACAGTGGTAAAAATCCATTTTACTAACATCTTCTTTTCAGTTTAATTAGAAATAAAAAATGTTTTAAACTATTTAATAAATAAAAAGCCATGATGCAATAAGGCCAATAAAGTTTTAGGCCAAATGGCACTCAAAATGCAAGCATGTGAATATGAACAATAAAATAACACTGTTCAACACAATATTCTTACCAACGCTATGCTATCAGTGTCAAACATGGACACTGTCTTCAGAAATAAGAAGGAAAACAGTTACAACAGAAATAAAATGTTTACCAACTATGCTAGGTGTAACGAGCAAAGATCGACTTAGGAATGATGATATCAGGAGCAGAGTTGGTACAGAACCAATGCTGAACTTTATATGTAGGCAACAAATCAAATGGTTTGGCCACGTAACAAGACTGACAGCCGACAGGGCACCATAGAGAGCAATGTTATAGAGATACAGTGGTAACAGAACCAGAAGTCAACCACGTAGAAGATGGGCTGCAGAAATATCAGTCACTGGAAAGTACTTTATACGAAGCTAACAGAAGAGCCAGTTCCAGAGATCTCTTCCTGCCCTAACGCTGCGAGGCATTCCAGGAGTAAGGAAAATAAGAAGATGAAGTTCTTCAAACAGTTCTTGTAATTTCATTGTTTCTCACATGATCTACTTGGTTGAGAGCAAGTGGTTCCTTTTGGTGGATTTTCTGATTTCATAAACTGTGCCTAGAGCATTTGATGATGAATAATTTTAGTAATGATGCCGGTAAAAACAAAGACTTCAATGAATACCTTTTCTTTGGACCATCCTCTTCCAACCACCATTCTCATGACTTCTGTGAGAACCGTGCGAACAGTCCACCAATCTTCCAAAGACCATATCGACAAACCTTTATCAGGTGAGAGCACACTATCAGCACACAAACTGTCAGCAACAAGATGACAAACCTACAAATGAATAAAACAATTAGATACATAAATAATCAACATGAACATAGAACATTCATTGTTCTGTTGTGTCGTTACAAGTAAGATAAGGCTTACAGTCTATTTCTTCATCCCATTCTGTCCTGTGTAACCACTTTAATATCATGGATAGAATCCAGTCCGACAGCTCAGACTTTTCTGATCCATGTTCGCCTTAGGGTTTGTTTTGGACATTGTCCTCACATCTCCCCCTCCCCCCCCCCCAATCCATTTTTTCCCATTTCAGTGCCTTTTTTAATGATACTGATTGTATTTTCTCAGATTGTGTGGAATAAAGCACCAACTTTTCTAACTTCATTTAATATGCCATCCACGTGTGTTAGGAGGGGGGGGGGGGGGGGGGGGGGGCGGCAGGAAAAAAAAAAGACTTGCTGCCCCCCAACACACAAGTGGTTAAAGTTTATTAAATGGTTTTTTTTTTCTGAAATGAGACGTGTTGGGCCAAAAGGGGGATGCAAAATTTGATGTTTCTTATTGTCCACTGTAAAAAATTTTCTTTACATGTAAACACAGCAGATAGCGGCAGCTGATGCCATCAATAAATTTAACAGAGACAAGATAAATACACTAAAAGGTATGCAATAGCCAGATGTACAGTAGTACTTACAGCAGAAACCTGTCCTACTACTAGGCACATCCGGCAGACAGCAATGACCTCTGGATAAAGAGGTTGGTTGGCCAAAAATAGTTTTAATAAGCAACCATAGACCAGTGCAGGTGGTAATCATGGACAGCTGTTAAATTTTGGCTATCCTCCGAATAATGGTCCCAAATTATTGAGGCCGAAAATATGCTCATGCGGTGTGGATTGGGGCTAAACTAGATGGCCAGGACTCATGAGCAAATAAAATGAAGGAAGCTGCAGGAGATGCGGTAGCTACTGCTCGTGAGTCCCAGCCATCTATTTCAGACCCAATCCACGCCGCGATATGTAATTTGCGGACCTCTATCCGCCGACTATGCTGCCGAGAGTTTAGCTGGGACTCATAAGCAAATAAAATGGAGAAAGCTGCAGGAGATGGGGTAGCTGCTGTTCGTGAGTCCCAGCCATCTAGTTTAGCCCCCCTCCGCGCCGCCCGTAACGGTGCGGGGGAAACTCTCAGCGGTTACTTTAACTCGGCTGAAGCTTTACTGTGGTATGCGGTAAAGTCGCCGGAAAGAGATCCGCAATTTTCATAATTATTTCTCAGGCCTTGTTATGGTAAATTTCCGTACTAATTTATTTGGTGTGAAAACACTTAATCTAAATTCAACATATGGTAAATTAATTAAATGTGTTTAAAAATCAAAAACAAAATTATACCACAGAAGCGATGAACATGCTATATTTTTACTTAATACTACATTTATAAATTGTTTTATATTATATAAATTCACACAAAAAAACAAAACTCAGTTGATGTTGATGAATGAAATGAATGAAAGTACGGCTAAACGCTTACAACCGAATAATTAACTCAAAGGTTATCAACACCTTCGCGTTAAATGACACTCCATTACTGTGATATATTATTCTAAAAAACGTTATACACATAAAATATATAACCGAAAGACTAACAGTTTCTAGATCAGTGGCAGAAGCTTTGGACAATACGGTAGCGGCCGCCTCCCACTTGTCGGTCGCCATTGTGATCACGTGATCCACAAATTTGTGTTCCGAGTTTTTGCATTTTCAGTCAAGGTGTCACATGACAGAGAGGAATGATAGAATGTCCCTATGTGGGCTGCAATTTTTCGTTATTTGAAGCCCCACCCTGGCTTTTGCCGGGGGCCCTGAATATAGTCAGGTCATAAATATGGCCTAACGGATGAAAGGGGTTTCTGGGACATCTTCACAGGTGATCCTCATCCGCATGGTGGCACTTTGTGTCATCTGGTGTTTATCGTCTGTGTGGGGTACAACGAGAGAGAGAGAGGGGGGGGGGGGGGGGTGGGGGATGAACGAATGAATGAATCAAGAATTGCATTCACTGCTCTCGGGGCATTTTCACACGCGCTCTGTCCCCTTCTACAGTAACTAGCGAAGAACTGAATTGCTAACAGTACCAGTTGCAACCTGATTAGAAGTCGGCCTCCATTTCCCCTTCCATGTTAAATATCTTCCAGAAGCTCTACTCACCCCCGTTGAATTAGTATTTCAGTGTATGGATTCCCTATCTACTCTTTGGCCCTGTCCATTTGATTCCAAACAGCCTGCACCCCATCCACTTCATCACATAGTAGCTCACCGCCCAGAAGAGCTACAGCATCTAATCTATCAGCCTGCTTGTTGCCTCTCACACCTGAATTTCCTGGAGAGAATATCCAAGATATGCTCCTCATCTGGGTCTTATCACATGATGCGCGCAGGATACCAGTTTCAGTTTCCAGAAGCATGATGTGTGAGTGTTACAATTACAACATGTCCAGCTGTTCTGCTCTCAAGCCAACGGAAAGCTGCCGTTACTGCGTCCACCTCCATTCTCCTACTGGCTGGGTGACGCTGTACACGGGGCTGTTTTCGAGCAGTGTCCATTCACCTTAGTAATAAAACCCACGGCCTTCTCTATTAGAGAAGGCAGTGATAAAACCCCACCCAATCTTCTTACCTCTCACTACAGACCAATTTCTATACATAGTGATAGCACCTGGGGCATGAATTTTCACTGACCAGCTCTCGCACCGCTGCCTGTTTTACCAGCTACCCATTCCCAGTATCATCTCTCTAAGGTAACTACCACTCTCTGGCCGGTACGGCATTAATTGAAGATGGCCGGCCCATGGATCACGCAGACATTGTCATTACCCTTAGAGAGATATGACGTTCTGAGGATTTTGGAAGCAACGTGTCCACATCATTTCTAAGAATGCGTGAATTGGGAGTAAAGATCGGCACAGCCAAGCATGAGAAGCACACTGGACGCACACGAAGTCTTGTTAACCAACATATGACTGGTACTATGATCCACACGACGCTGATGAATATGTTGAGAGGGGAATCTCAGCGCCTGTTGGATGTGTCCGGAGTGCTGTGAAGATAATTTAACTCATACCTCATAACTATCACTCTGTATATGTCTGTTCTGCTGGCTGGCACTGTAACCCATTCTTCACCAGGCTCTATCTTGTCAGTAACACACACAGTTCTGATCCTGGATTCTGCCTGTGCCATCCAAGAGCCACGTCTTTTCGACCGTTGTCCCTCCTTAGGCCTCACGCAAAAGGTATCCCCTGTCCATTGCGACTTCAATGTACATTCTCAGCTGTAAAGCCTTGTATCTCTCATATACGGATGGTCATGCAAGTAATGACAGAGGGTAAGTAGTGATACAGCGTCTGCGTCACCGATGTATTTTCCAGACCACATGTGTTAGTTTGGTTATAATTGATGTAGTGTCTTGCGTTGCAAACCATATAGGTATACAAATAAAGGCAGGCCAAATATTATTAACATTAGCGATGACTTAGCGGGAGTTGGTTAAGAACACATGCTCCAATGGGCGATAAAGAGCAAAAGAGGAAAGTCTAGATACAGTTTGACTGGATAACATAAAAGCATAAAGTCCATACCATCTGACCAACATGTGGAGGGAACTGATCAATTAGTCAATGGCAACCCAGCGATGCACTGTGTTACAGGACTATAAAAGCTGTGATAAGAAACAATTAGTTGGGGGGGGGGGGGGGGGGGGGGTTGTGGGTGAGGGAGAAAATGAGAAAGGGGGAGATGGGGGTAATCTTTTTGGTACTACAACCATTTTCAGCATCCTGCGAGGAGTTCCGATTACGATTTGATTGTATTCAAGAACCGACATCACAGCACTCAGGGCATTCCCATAAGCGCTCCGTCCCCATCTTCAGCAGTCAGCGAAGAGTTCCGATACTAATGGTGCCAGTAGCATTATGATTAAACGTCCGTCTTGCTTTTCCCCAGAGCCTCGAGCATCTGCCAGAACCTCTCGTCACTCCCCGCTGCATCAATCTCACCAGACTGTGGCGATCCATCTGCTCCTCCGAACTGTACACGCTCTCCCACGGGGCACTAACCACGTCTGCCTTATCATGTATCAGTATTCCACCAAGTTGTGCAGAGCCAGCCAGTCTGTCCCCTGTTCATTTTCCAACACACAGGCGTGACCGGTGAAAAAATTCAGTCAATACTCCCCACCCGTGTCCTCCGCAGCCAAGCATGCCACTCTGTACGAAGCATACCTGTTCCGATTACGATAGTGCCCGGCGCAGTCTGGTTGTATATCCGTCTTGCCGCTCCAGTCAGAATTACGTGAATGTCAAATCGCTCGGCCATCCTCGGTGTATCATTCTCTTGAGACCGTTATGGTCTATTCGTAACACCGCAATGTTCACAAAGGGCCTTCACTACATTTAGCTTGTTATGCATCAATTTACCACATAGTGGTGCATCACCAACCAGCCAACCTGTATGTCTGGGGGTGTTTTTTTCGCCACACACTTGAATGCCTCGAAGGAGTCTTGCTGTGGCAAACCCACGTTAACAAAACCAGCACCCAAAAACATTTTTTTTTAAATGTGTTTGTTGTATAGTAAGACTTGCTTTCTCATCACCCATCTGTATTCCTAAGATGGTATTCTCGTAAAAACTGACTTACACCGCATTTCCCTCAATGTTTACCCGCTCCTGATCAGACACCAGAAGAAAAGACAAGTTTAAACTATACAAGGAAAAATAGACTCAACTTTGTAATTACTAGCAAAATCTCCCCCCCCCCCCCCTCTTTTTCAATTCTCTTTCCTTCTCTATTCTCATTTCTTCTCTTGCTGCTGCTGTTTCTCCATCTTCTTTCCTATTCGTTTTATCTCAGCCAAGTGTGTGTGTGGGTATGAGTGTACCATTTTTAAGACGTTACAAGCATTGATCTTCGATTCTTTTAAGCTGTTCTTGACGTAGTCATTCCATAATTTGCGTGACTAAGCCATATAGGATAAAACCCGGTGCATTGACGTGGATACTCTTGTGTTCATTACATGTTTATTCAGCTTGGCTCTGTGACAGTTGGTACCAGAGCATTTTCTTCAGATGACCAAACCATCTCACCTGTTGCTCTTTAATGGCCGGTTTTAGTAGTAAAAGCAACAGATGACACCTACATGGAAGACTTATTTCTTGATTTTAAGAATCGACTTTACGTAATTAACACGTCCTTCGTCACACCCAACGGATGTGGCGAGGTTTAGATTACGATTGTTTTAGGAACAAAAATATCAGTTCGGTGTAACCCCTTTGCTTTCAACCTGGGAGACGCAAAGGGAGAGGGGATGGAGGGAGGGAGAGAGAGAGAGAGAGAGAGAGAGAGAGAGAGAGAGAGAGAGAGAGAGAGAGAGAGAGAGAGAGAGAGAGATGCTGAACAGTTGACATCAAACTAAGAAAGCTAACCTGGGCACCAAATGCCTGCAGAAGTTGGATATGTCGGCTGATAAGCGCAAACATCACAGCCATGCTGAAACTGATCATCTGTGTCAGAATTGACTGACAGTACACAAGATAGAAGGTTGTGGATAGTCAGAACTGACTGACAGTACATGAAACGGAAGGCTGTGGATAGTCAGAACTGACTGACAGTATATGAGAGAGAATGTTGTGGATAGTCCAAACTGACTGACAGTACATGAGACAGAAGGTTGTGGATAGTCAGAACTGACTGACAGTGTATGAGATAGACGGTTGTGAATAGTCCATACTGACTGACAGTACATGAGACAGAAGGCTGTGGATAGTCAGAACTGACTGACAGTACATGAGACAGAAGGCTGTGGATAGTCAGAACTGACTGACAGTACATGAGACAGAAGGCTGTGGATAGTCAGAACTAACTGACAGTACATGAGACAGACGGTTGTGGATAGTCAGAACTGACTGACAGTACACGAGACAGAAGGTTGTGGATAGTCCAAGCTGATTGACAGTACATGAGACAGAAGGCTGTGGATAGTCAGAACTGACTGACAGTACACAAGACAGAAGGTTGTGGATAGTCAGAACTGACTGACAGTACATGAGACAGAAGGTTGTGGGTACACATGACTACCAATGCCACACCACAAACTATAAATAAAGGATATGCACAAGAAATTCAAGATTGGAAAGACTTAGGACTTTGACCGTGCGCACCACACAGTACCTCTGCTGCAGCCATACCCTCTGCATGCAGTAGTGAGATCCGGGTCTAGTCAGTCAGTATTGTCTTGTCCACAATTGCCTCACAGCGTAGTGGGGAGTCGCAGTTTTCTATCCTGGTCCAGGTGTGTTGCACGTGTTGTTGTTAGTCCGTGTTGCCTCAGGATCTCTGATATATTGTCTATCCATCGTACTCTCGGTCTGCCTCTTGCTCTAGGGCAGTAGTGCTGTTCGTTGTATGCTCGTAGAGGCAGTTGGTCGGTTTGCATTCGCATCAAGTGGCCAAACCACTCTATTTGTTGCTTCTTTATGTATTGCAGGCATGGTGTGGTTCCTACAATTGATCTAATGTTCTCGTTTCGAACTCTGTCTCTCCTTGTGACATTGGCAGCCTTACGTAAGCATCTCATTTCGCACGTCGTGATCTTTTTCTCCTGTGCTCTTGTTAGGGACCAGGTTTGGCATTGGTAGCAGAGGGTTGGTATAAACATGCA